TCTATCATTTTCTCTCTAAATCATTTTAAACATTTTTATTGAGAAATAATTTACATACCATGAAACACCCATTCAAAGTATACTGTTTAATAGTTTTAAGTATATTCACAGAGTTGTGTAACCATCATCACAATCAATTTTAGGACATTGGTATCACTCTCAAAAGAAAACCCATAGGATTAGCATTCCCCATTCCTGTGTGCCCCCCGAGCCAGGCAACCACTAATCTACTCTCTGTCTCTATTGACTTGCCAATCCTATCTATTCACATAAATGGAATCATATAATATGTGGTCTTTTGTGGATGATGTCTTTTACTTAATATAAATTTTCAAGATTTATCATGTTGCAGCGGACTTTGTTTCTTTTTATTACTGAATAGTATTCTATTAGTTGTCTTTTTATTGTTGAGTTGTAAGTATTCTTTGTATATTTTGAATACAAATTCCTTATCAGATACATGTTTGCAAATATTTTGTTTATCCATTCATCCCGTGATGGGCATTAGGGTTGTTTTCACTTTTTGGCTATTTTAAATAGTGCTGCCCATGAACATTCATGTATAAGTTTTTGTGCGGACATGAGTTTGTCTTAGATATACACTTAGGAGTTAATTTTCTGGGTTATAGAGCAGCTCTATGTTTGTCATTTTGAGGAACTGCCGAACTGTTTTTCAAAGTGACTGCACTGTATTTTATTTCCATCAATAATGTATGATGGTATCAATTTCTCTAAATCCTCGCCAACAATCATTATTAGTTTTTTATTAGTATTATTATAGCCATCCTAGGGAGAGTATAATGATACCCTACTGTTGCTTAAATTTGCATTTTCTTGATAGCTAATGATGTTGAGCGTGTTTTCATGCTTTATTGCCCATTTGTGTATCTTATTTGGAGAAATCTCTATTCAAATCCTTCGACCATTTTAAAATTGTTATTTGTCTTTTTATTGTTGAGTTGTAAGTATTCTTTGTATATTTTGAATACGAATCCCTTATCAGATGTATGATTTGCAAATATTTTCTCCCATTCTGTGCATTATCATTTTCATCTTCTTCACGGTGTCCTTTAAATCACAGAAGTTTAATTTGATGAAGCCAAATTTATCTATTTCTTCATTCTTTTTGCTTCTGTTTTTGGTGTTGTATCCAAGAAACCCTTGCCTAAGCCAGGTCATGAAAGTTTACTCCTGTGTTTTCTTCTAGGATTTTTTTAGTTTTAGCTCTTCTATTTAGGTGTAGGGTACATTTTAAGTTAATCAGTGTATGAATTAGGGTAGGAGTCCAACTTCACTTTTCTACACATGGATATCCTATTGTCCCAACACCATTTATTTAAAAGATGATTCTTTTTCCCATTGAATTGTCTTAGCCATCTTGTAAAAATCAGCTGACCATAACTGGATCCTCTCTAAATAAATTTTAACTTTCTTTATTTCTATTTTCTGTTCCAAATTTTGCTTTTGTTTGCCGCAATAGCTAATCAACATTATGCTTCTTTCTATTTTATCCTCAGTTCCATTATGTTCTTATTTAGATTGACATAAACATTCTGCTTGATTAAATGGGATTCAGGGTAAGCACAGGCGCAAGCAAGAATGCACAAAAGCAGAGAAGATTATTGCAGACAAAACAAATTGCTCTAGCTGGCCTTGTGGTGACATAGAAATATGATTTTTAAATGTGTGGAATGTTTAGAAGCAGATTGTGGATAGTCTTTGTAAGTCTGATCAAGAAGTTTACTAAAAGTAGTAAGGAACCAAGTTTGAAGAATGAATAGCTAGATAAAGAGCTGATTTAGGCCCTGGCCAGTTTGGCTCAGCGGTTAGAGCATCGGCCTGCGGTCCTGAGTTCGGTTCCCACTAAGGGCACGCACCTTGGTTGCAGTTTGTCCCTGGCCCCGGCTGGGGTTGTGTGGGTGGCAACCAGTCGATGTGTCTTTCTCACGTCAATGTTTCTCTCTCTCTTCCTCTCTCCCTCCCTCCTACTCTATCTGAAGATAAATGCAAAAATGTCGTTGGGTGAGGATAAAAAAATAAAATAAGAGGTGATTTAGGATAGATTTCTACTACTGCTACTACTACTAATAATAATAATAATAACAACAACAATAATAGTCCGGCCGGTGTGGCTCAGTGGTTGAGCGTCGACCCATGCATCAAGAAGTTGCTGGTTCAATTCCTGGTCAGGGCACATGCCCAGGTTGTAGGCCCGATCCCCAGTGGGGGCATGCAGGAGGCGGCCAATCAATGTTTCCTCTCTTTGATGTTTCTATCACTCTTCCTTTCTCCCTTCCTCTCTCTCTAAAATCAATAAAAGAAAATTGTTTAAAAAAAAAAAGAACTCACAATTGTCTTCAAGACTTCAATTTTGGTTCATCAGTCAGGGTAGAAGCTCAATGTCATTACACTGAAGATTAGATCATGAGAATATAAAAATAGCAAGCACCGAGGTAGAGGAGGGATAAAGATAGAGAGTCCCTGGTAAGACAGTCAGGAGGAATTGCATTTCCCCCCAATGGAAGGGGTGTTTGTGAAGAAAGGAAGCTGCATTGGTGAACATGAGATTGAAGATAAGAGAGTAATGGAAGAAGAGAAGTTGTATCTCCAAAGAGGGAAAGGAGGCGGGGGAAATATTCCATAAGAATTATGAGTAGGATAAAATATACCATCCTGCGCGGGAGAGAGAGAGAGGCCGACCATTAGATGAGCAGAGAGAACTTGGGTATGGATGAATGGAGAAGGGGAGGCCATCCAAGGAGTCCCTATGAGATGCCCTTGCTCTTCTCAGTAAAATCAGAATTTAATGTGGGAATTTCTGGGAATAACAAAAGATGAATAGAAGTGATAAAGAACTCGGGTTGCATAAATCCGTAACAGGCCCGTCAGCTGTATTTTCATGACTTCCTCGGGACTGCTCTCCACGAGAGGCTGGATTAAAGGCTAATCTAGGGTTAGCACTGGCTTGGCTCGAGCGAAGGGCCGAAGGTGAAAGGACGTTAGTGAGGTCGGCACTCAGGTGGATAAAAGCCTCTTTGACTGCCGGTCTGCACTAGCATTCTGAGCCCTGCTCAACAGCAGTTCCCGCACAGGGAATTCGGCAAGAACAGAAGCTTCCTGGGGTGGAAGCTTCCCGTCATGAACCGAGTACAGATTTCTTACAGATGACTTTGAACACATGTATATAACCTGCGAGCCGGGCCGCTGAAGTTGGAAAGCACTCATCTGGGTCGACAGCACTGACTGAAGTTTGCGTGTGTGGGGGGGAGTGTAAATGCACCCCTCTTCTAAAGGGAGGGGAAGACAGAAAGATACGTTGTCTGGTGGCCGTGGTGAAGGCAGCCCTCTCACGGTGGCCGACACTGGAAGACGGCAGGGATGGCTGACCAGAGACCCTGAGGGTTTCGATGAAATAGGTGAGAGAAATATTTTCTTTTACAGGAAGGGACTATTGAAGGAGAAGCACAATCAAGTCTAATTCTAACTGGTCGGAGACATCTATCTGTGAAACCACTGCCCAGATGTAGGAAAGGGGGTGGGCATGTCCTATATATTGACATAGTGGACTCGGTAGTGACAATACTATATTTGGATATATATGTATATCAAATAATACATAGATGTCCCACAAGAAATATATATATTCAAATGTATAGCTAGATAGATATTTATTCTGGGTTTTCTACTTTGCTTAGGAGGAGGAAGAACCTAATTGTTTTTGCTTCACTCCAAGCACCAAATGAGTGTTTTTAGTTAATCTCTGGCACTCACTCCAGTTCCCAGAGCTCCCGGCCAGGATACATGGGTGCTCAGGAAGATGTCTCCCTCATTCCTTCCCCTACCTGCCAACAGAGCTCTCACTGGCATAAGTTAGACCCAGAATGCAAAATACCGTGGGCTTTATCTGTTATTTATTGCTATATAACAATCCAGTCAAAACTTAGTGTCTTGAAACAACTGTAATCCATCACTTGCCATAATTTTGGAGTTAGCTGGGTCAGCTGGGTGGTTCTTTTTCTCTATTTGCAATCATCTGGGTTGCTCCTGTCTTCTGGAGGCTCAGGTGGGGCTGGGTGATTCAAGATGGCTTCACTCACAGGTCTAGTGCTTGGTGCTGGCTATCAACTCTACATGATCTCTCCAGAAGGCTTCCAAGAGTGGAATTGCAAAGTTTCCTTTTTTTTTTTTTTTAGAGACAGACAAGAACAGAGAGAGAGAGAGAGAGAGAGAGAGACATCAATATGTTGTTCCACTTATTTATACATTCGTTGGTTAATTCTTGTATGTGCCCTGACCTGGGATTGAACCCAAAACCTTGGCATCTCAAGATGATGCTCTAACCAACTGGGCTACCTGGTCAGGGACTGCAAAACTTTTTAATGCTTAGGCTCTGGCCCTCACAAAACGTCACTCACATCTTATGCTGTGAGTCAAAGGCAAGCATAATGCCAGCCTAGAGTCAAATGTGGGAGAGGACTTAGCTGCCACTTACTGATGAGACCAATTGTATAAATTCTATGGCCATTTTTAATCCCTCAAACAGGATTAGACAAAATTCCATCTGTAAAATGTATATAATCATATGTGGCCCAAAGCAAATAATTTTAAAGTGTTAATTATTGCTGTTGTTATTAGCCTTTTTCTTCTGATTGAAAAAAAAAAATGCTTTTCCTGGGTGAGGAGGTAGGTAAGTTTTTCTTTAGATAACCTGAAAAATAAAATATGTAACACACACAAAAAATCCATATGGGATTCTCTGAACTAGTATTAAATGTCTGAACATGCATGTTACATAAGAATTTGAGGTGTTTCAGAGAAAATATTTCATTGAAATTGGCAGACCTAGAGTAAGGAGAAACAAAAGAAAAACTGTAATGGTATAAAATTTAAAAAGTGTCCCACTTACAAAGTTCAAATGACTTAAAAAGTCTTACCCTCCCCTTTGTATTTTCTCTGACTTTTGAGTTTTCATTTCTTCTTCCCTTAAATTGATTTTTTTTAGAAATTAGAGAATAAAATGCCAGCACGATGTTCCTCAGCAGAGATGCCGATTCAAGTAAAGACGATGAGGAGACCGAGTTTCCTGCGTGCTCCGTATGTACTTACACTTCTGTAACGTTGTCCACAGGAAACTGCATTCCAGAATTATAAGCATTCAAACTAGTAAGCACTGAGTGGCATGCCTGGGGGACCACAGGGAACACAAACATTTCTCTTCAGCCACCTGCCCTCCTTTGGCACAGCAAAATGCAGCTCTTCCGTGGGCTGGGGGCCTGCCTGCTGACTTGTTTGCACGACAATGAAATGCCTTCGAAAGAGCCTTTTACCAACTCGACAATGAAATGCCTTCGAAAGAGCCTTTTACCAACTCCGCCCAGGTCCTGTTTGTTGCCTTGACTAGAACTGCAGGGAAACTGCACTGGGCTGAGCGACCCAAGTTTGGGCTCTCACTTTGGCCCCTATGGCCTTCCCGTTTAATGACCTAAGAAACCTCTTAGGAATAATGGGATTCGCAGGCAGAATGCTCTAGAAAATAAAATGTCATTCTTTTAATACAGGATTTTAGATAGAGAAGGGGGACTCCAAGGGAACACGTATTGTCTTTTCTGCTAACAATTATTCCCAAACTCTACAAATGTAACCATTTGCTTTGATAAAATATTCCAGTTAATAAGATGATCACAGCTTCTTGTGCACTGTGTTCCTAAACGTTCCAAGCCCCTTGGACACCAGGACGAAGCTGTTATATCCAGATGATCTGGCTCCCTTGCTTTCTTAAAAGAGATGTAACCTTACCTGAAACACGTTGCATACCCCCAGAGTGGTCTCTCTCCATGGGAACTCTCAGAATCTTAGAGTTGGAAAGGTCTTAAAGACTTTAGAATCCAAGTCTGATGGCTCATTTTACAATGCAGGCTTTCAGTGACATGTCTAAACAATACCTCTTTTGGGGAAGAATCTGAGCCTTGAACATGTGGTCTCTGTTCCACACTGCTATAACTGACAGGGCTTAGTTAGGCAACAATATCACCCAAAGATAGACGCTTCTGTGTGCATGGTTACTTGTTATTTTATTTGTTTTAGAGTTTGTGGATCTGCAAGATGATTATCATTCATCAGTCTCACAACTTCCCACTTCTCCCCCCCTCCCCCATAGCTGCCAGAATTATATGCACTTGCTGAGAATTTTAATAAGAAGAGCAAGAAATCAAGTCGCCTAAAAACTCATGGCATGTCACCAAGCGAAGCACAGAAAATACTTAGTCAAAACCTGAATGCCATGTCATTCACCAGCGGGACTGATTTGAGAGAAGATCCCCAATCTGTGCTCACGTGCAAGGTGGTTAGAAAAGAGGAGGAGAGGCCAGCATCACTGACTGAACTCCTGCACCGCAGCCTACTGACCACCTTGCACTCAGAACTCGACAGACTCGCCAAGTCCCAGCAGAGACTCGCTCAGCACGGCATCCCTCCTCCCTTGCACACCTTTCCTTATGAGATTCTAATCGAGAACTCCAATTTTTGGGCCACGACACGGAAGAGGATTCAAAATTTCAGAAGATCATCCAAGCCGAGCTTTTCCCGCTCCAAGCCAGACAAGTTTTTATTTGAAGATAAGATTTCTGAATACTTATTAGTTGAACCAGGTACTCTAAACAGATAAGGCCACGTGAGAGAAAAAGAGTGGAAATCTTACTGGAAAATTTACCTAGATTTCCAGAGTTGAAAGAGTCAAATATTGATCCACAGGAATGTCGTTGTTCTGGTGCTCTTAATACACATAATGGCAATGGGAAATGGAGGACAGAGAATCCGACACTTCAGGGTCAAATCTCAGACTCATTCCCCAAAAGATGTATTATTTAGACATCGCACTTACACTTGCTTTTATGAAACGAGCCGGTTAAATTAGGGCTCTAAAACACTCATAACTATTTGTTTCTTGTTCCATGAAGTTAGTCAAGTATTTAGTAAATAATAATTTATCTTTCTTAAATATCTTGATTTCTCTTTAATTGAGGGTTTTTAAAGATTTTAAATAATAAACCTTTACTCTTTCCTATTGTTACATCTCTACGAAGAGGAGAAAACTCTCTAGTTCTGATTCTTTAATAAAGAAGGTACCCATAAAAGTCCAAAGACCTTATAGAGAAAGTTAAAAATATAAAAAACACATGATGGACTATTCCTAAGGTCTTCATTTTCTTATGTAATTTGAGGGAAATAATATTTTGTCATTCTGTGTAGCTATAAAAAATAGATTAAATTAATGACATAAAACATTTGAGTCTTTCTGAAGTAGGTTCTTGACCCAAGATAAAACTATTTGCACAGCAAATATTATGACATCACAAGTAATGGGAGAAACAGGAACAAATTTAAAGGAACAGATCAATCACTCTGATCATATGTATATGGTCCAAGATGCCGGAAAAACGTTTGCTCTAACTTCCTACATCCATGTCATGACACAACCCAATGCAGGTTTAAAATTCCTTTGATAGAATCATACTTTATGTGTTTGGAGCTCAGACAGAAGTGGAAATTAAGGCAGTTGTGGAATGGCCTACATAATCCACAAAAGGGCACGGGGAAAGTCTGGGACCAAAGAGGAAAAAGCAAGGAAAGTGTTTGAGGATCCATAAGAACTGTCAAAAAGCCTACTGAAGAAGTGCTGAAGGCTTTGGATGTTTGATAGGGCTTGAATATTTATGGCTTTGCCACCTATAGGGGCCAAATCGCCCGTCCTTCCTAATGCATGGATTGCCTGCTGTCTACCTAACCCCTGGGAGCCTCTGGGTGCCCCCCCAGACTCTCACTCAGTCTCTTCTCTGCCTCCATGACCTCATTTTTTGAGATCCTGGAGATAGAATTTCTGGGACATATCCTGTCTATTCAAGGAATATGTATGAAGCCAGGTAGGTATCCATATGAGAAATATCCAATAATTCCTTAGGTTTAATTGATATTATAATATTTCATCTTTTGCTGTCCTATATTGCCCAATATGACTATCATTTCATTAGCCAGCTAGTCCCTGAAGTTTTCTCAGTCTGGGAAAACTTTGGGACTTCTGGCATACCAAAGAATAGTATAGAACACATCTTTACTAGCACCAAGCACGAGAGGAGGAAAAGGAGGTGGGTGCTGCCATTTTTCTTTTTCTACCTTATGAGCAACTCTTGCTCAGGTTAAATCCTGTAGGACCATGTAGGTTAAGAATGTGTTTGGCCAAAAGTAATGGAAAAACCAAATAGGGGTTATTTTTCCTATATAATTAGAAGTCTGGAGGTGGGCAGACAAGGGCTGGAGCAATGTTTTGATGTCGTAGATCAGGCTCCACCATCTCTTTCTGAACGGCTTATGTCTTCACGGCCAAAAGATGTTTCCTTCCCTTTCAGGCACTATGGCCACATCCCATACAGGAAGAGGGGGATAGGAAAAAGGGCCACATTGGCTAGTTTGGTCCTCTTTGAGTAGGAGGCAAAGCTCCTCAGAACACACCTCCTAAGGTGACTTCTCCTTACATTTCATTGTCTGGAATTGAGTCCAATAGTAACCCTTACTGCAAGGAAGCCCGGTGAAGAGAGTTCTGAGCTTTCTATCCTCCATACTGGAGGGAGGCAGAAGGGGGTGGTATTGGCATGGAGTGAGCTAACCTGTAGTGTCTACCATGGATCACAACATACAGCTCTTTAGTAATGGAAATCATCAACTCTATGGCCTTCTTACACCAAATATTTCTTTCCTTTCCTTTTTTCTCTCATCATTTCTTGCTATACAGAGCCTGCCAAGATCTTGTCAAACCCTCTGAAACTTGGTAACTGACATTTAGGGACAGGCTGTGGAACAACATGGCCAGGTGTGAACTCAAGGAAGAGTCCCTGGCCTCAGTTTCCTACTTCAGGCATGAACAGAATATATACACTTTCTACTAGGCAGACCCTGGCAAACCCAGGTCCTTCCCAAAAATGGAGGCTTGATTGGGGCAGGGGCAGTATTTGGGCCATAGGTGACCTGCTCAAATATCACCAAACAGAGGGCGATAAAATCATCCATGAGAAATGGACCTGCTTGTTTGCTGTACCCATTATTCTCCTTACACTCCTTTTGGCTCTTTGGTCTCAGGTTTTACATTCAAGCCCCTGCCTTGGGCTTTCTTTTTCTTTTCTTTTTTTCAGGTTTACTATTTATTGAGTCATGAAAAGAATCGAAGGGAAAGGAAAGGGAAAAGGTGCTGAGTAGGGGACTGTGCAGTGTCTCTTGGCTGTAGTTCATTGGCTTCTTGAAGAAAATGTAACTACTAATGACTCCACATTGGCAGGTCCTGAAAGAGTAGGGAAAGCAGCCAAATTCTAGCTAAGCCACTGTCCTTTTATACTCAGGGTTTACACCAGCCTCTTGGAAGAAATGACACTAGCCATGTATACACTGCTGATAAATCTTCCTCCTTGTTTTCACGCCTCATTAGAATCATTTTTCTTCTCCCGTTGACCTCAGTGCTCTGCAGGTCTCTCCAATTTGCACATTCTTAGTTTCCAAGCACCAAATGAGAAACTTTCCCCACCTGCCATGGCCCCTGCAGGGTCCTTTCCAGCCCAGTTAGCCAGACCCACTCACAATTCTACATGGAGGAGGGTTTTCAATGAGGTGGACACCGTAGGTTCCCCTTAGTTTATAAAGATTCAGAAAACGCTTTCTACCAGAAGGGAGGAGGCTCAAATTCATCAAAGGTTTACTCTGTCATGAAATACCTCTGAATCACTGAGGGTTAAATGACACCACCATGTGATTCTTTGAACATGTGATTCTTTTCAGAAAAACAATTCATGGATCTAAGGGATCTGGAATGGAAATATTACAAGGGGATCACAAAGTGGGCACGCAAAACTTCGGCTTCATATACAAACATACAGTACAACAGTGAGAAGAGATTTGTAGAGAGTCAGGAGATGCCTGATGTTATTTTCCCTCCTCTGGTTCGTAGGTCTTTGATTGTGTGTTCTCAAATTGATAATGAACAGAATGTACTTTCTTTTTCTTAAATGAAATATGCAGTTTCTGAAACCATTTTGGATGTAGGTTTTGCTTTTGAGAACATTGAATTTATGCACAAAAAGGAAAGAAGCAGAGGCACCGTGGAACATGGAACCATATGCACATAAGGTCTAAGGTGAAACCACTAACATGGAGTAAGAGATCCAAGTTGACTTGCTATGGTGTGTATGCAGGAGAACACACAAGCAAGAATAGCTCTCTAAAAATGTAAGCACATGAGAAAGTCTACGGCCATAAAAATAGTTGATAAATTCAACAGATGAAAGAATTAACACCTGAGGGTATAGGGTTCAACCTGAAAACTTAAATATAATATGTTAACTGTGCAAAGACATGAGGAAGGAAGTAGCGACTCTGCAGCAAGAACAGGAAGATTTAAAAAAGAAGAAATTAGAAATCTTGGAAGTAAAAAAATGTCATTGAAAATAAAATGTTAATAATGACCCTCAATAAATTACCTCAGTGGTATAGTGGATATATCTGAAGAGAGAAGGGATTCAAGAGTTGGAAGACAGCATTGAGAAAGAAGCTTCCAGATCACAACACAGTAAGATCAAGGAGAAAATGATGAAAGAAGTTAAGGGTTATGGGGGGCAGGGTGTTGAATGAGAAGTTCAGGAATCTGCAGTGGACGTTGCAGAAAGAAATGAAGAGCGTGGGGAAAAGGTGATGCTTGAAAATAAAATGACTGATACCTTTCCAGAAATGAAGAAACACATGAAGGCTTGAATTGAAAACTCTCACTGGGTGATTAGCAAGAACATAAGTCTATACCTGGGAGGACTGTAGCAGAACTGCAGAGAATTAAGCAAAAAGAAAAAGAAACTATAATCTACAAAAAAGAGAAGATGGATGACAGAAACGAACGGCTAGGAGACGGTGGGACTCTAACAGCTGCTGTCAGGTGATGGTGTCACACTCAAAACGCTGAGGGGGAACAACTGTCAATCTGGAACTCACTGCCAGCCTAACCCCCTTTAAAAAGTAAGACTAAAATAAATACATTTTAAAACATGGAAGAGTCAAAAATGTTTACTACCCCTTACTGGAAAAACTACTAGCAAATATGTACTTCAGCAAGAACCCCGAGGGTGTGCAAGAAACGGGTGAGCAATTCAGTTCCTAAGTAACATATGACTGTGGTTGTGTCGATATTAAAATATATTTCTAGATTCTATTTCCTAATATTTTATCTTAAAAATTTGCCTCTATAGGTGGAATTATTTTGTAGTTTTCATGTTTTGCGCTCTTTTTAAAAATCAGATTTTGGCTTCTGCATAGTGGATACTGCCTAGAAATGGGCCTGAGGGAGGTTTTTTGGGTTCTCATAATATTCTAGGTTTTTTTTATTTTATATTTGTTTATTAATGTATTTTTATTGATTCTTTTAGAGAGAGAGGAAGGGAGAAAGAGAGAGAAACATTGATGTGAGAGAGAGAGAAACATCAATTGGCTGCCTCCTGTTTGCCCCTCATTGGGGATGGAGTCCACAACTTGGGTATGTGCCTTGACCAGGAATCGAACCTGGACCTCTCCGTCCATGGACAACGCTTAATCCACTGAGCCATACCAACCAGGCTATTCTGGGTATTTAAAATATGTGTACTCAAGTTGTTCAGCATGCAAAAATTCCTCAAGGTATACATTTAACAACTGTAAGCTTTATCATGCATGTTACACTTCACAAAAAAATGTTTTGCAAGTTATGCTACCTGGAGTTTTCTTTTTTTTTTAATTTTTTGAAGCCATAGCTATTTAAATAATATCAGAAATATTTGAAAGCTAGATCTTTAAAATCTAGCTAGAACTCAGCTATAAAATCATACAGTCCTGACAGCTTTTCTTCCTATCATATTATGAAAATGTTTAAACTAGATTCAACACTTAAGATTGTACCACACTCAGTTCATCTATTCCTGTTGTGTTTGCTGTGGATGCTGAACTATCTTAAAGCAAATCTTAGGCTGAAGGTCTAAGCTTCTCTCCTTACATACTTTGGTATGCATCTCAGAAAAATATGGACATCCTCTCTCATAGACACACTGCCATCGTTATACCAGGAACAATGACAATTCCTTATTCCCATCTGCAGATCCGTATTTGAAGTCCCCTTATTGTCTCAAAACTGTCTTTTTCCAATTGGTTTGTTTTTATAGGAATCCAGGCAAGGTTAAGGACTGCATTTGGTTCTTAGGTCTCTCAAAGTTTTTAGTAAACTTTCTTAAAAATAATTTTTCTCTATTGATTTTAGAGAGAGAGACAGGGAGAGGAAGAGAGAGACGGAAACATCGATGAGAGAGAACATCAATTGGCTGCCTCCTGCACGCCCCTCACTGGGGATTGGACCCACATCTGGGCATGTGCCCTGACCAGCAATCTAACCGATAACCTCTTGGTGGAGGGGTTGATGTTCAACCACTGAGCTACACCACCCGGGCTTAGAAAACTTTTTAAAAAAATGTAACATCGTACAGAAAACCACAAGCTTGATGACCTCTAACAAGCTGAACATACCCATGGACCCACACCCAGGTCATGAAATAGAGCACAGCCAGCATGACCCTCCCTGAAACTGTCCTCATTTTTACCCTCTGGTCACCAGTTTTTCATAGGTTAATTTGGTCTGTTTTTGCATTCGTTTATACAAACATGCACATACAACATGGATTCTTTTGATCTGGCTTCTGTCTGCATTATGTTAGTGAGATTTATTAATGTTCTATATGTAGATATTTATCTTCATTTCTGTTTAGTATTCAATTATATGAATATAAGCTGATTTATTTATCCTGCTATTGACAAGCATTTCAAGTCATCGGCAGAACAGTTCTAAATTTTAATTTAGAATTATAAATTTGAATTTGGCCTTCCAAATTGTCATGAAGGATTATTGGTAAATATAGGAAAAGAGCACACATGTTATTTAATGGCTTGATTTATACTTAAACTGTTTAGATATACAATGTATGGGCCTCCATTTGAATCCCTCTTTGAGTCCTAAAAATGCTAGTGGGTGGGTCTCTCTATCTAGAATTAAAGTACATGAAAACAATAGCTCATAAGTTGGATGAAGGTAAAGGGAGTTAGAGAGTCCTAAGATAGTGTGTCTGAGATGTGGTAAAAGAACTAATATACATGGTTTTTAATAAGTTAAGGATGCTTGTTGTAATATCTAGGCTATCCACTAAAAGAATAGGAAGATAACGTGCAATGAAACAAGCAAATAGAGGAGGGAAAAAGAATAATGAAAAATATTTAATCAATTCAAATGTAGACAAGAAAGTCAAGAAAAAGCAATATAGTTCAGGTGGGAAAAGCAGAGCAAATATAAGATACTAGATATTGCTATATCAATAATTAATTTAAATCTGAATGGAATAAATATTTCAATTAAAGCCAAAGATTGTCACTCTGTATAAAAAATTTCAATGAGCCTGGCCAGTGTGGCTCAGTGGTTGAGCCTCAACCCATGAACTGAGGGGTCACCAGTTCGATTCCCAGTCAGGGCACATGCCTGAGTTGTGGGCACCGGTCCCCAGTGAGGGTCGTGCAGGAGGCAGCCAATCTATATTTCTCTCTCACTGATGTTTCTATGTCTCGCTCCCTCTCCCTAACTCTCTAAAAGTCAATAAAACATATTTTTTAAAATGTTTTTAATGACACACTGCCTACAAGAGACATAAGCCAAATATAATAGTGTAAAAAAGTGGAAGATGTGAAGATGGAAAAAGATGTATCTTCTAAACATGAACTAAAAGTTAGTATAGCTATACTACTATCAGACAAAGCCAACTTTAAGATAAGAGACATCTTTAGAGATAGAGGATTACTTATTAATGGTAAAAGTTTTATTCATCCCGAAGACATAATTGTCACCCCTAAGTCCCAAGGTGAACCCTGGCAGCATGGTCTGCCTTCAAGAGGTTGAAGCCAGGGGAAGGGCCCACCCAGGCCTGGGATTATGATCAGATCCATCTGAGTAAGAAATTCTGAGGTTCCAGGTATCCAAACTGTGCTCCAGATGAGGTGACATCAGCTCCAGGTGGGCCTGTCCCCTTGGCCCCATAGATTCCTCACCTTATGGGACAGGACATGGGCAAAGAAGACCAGAGTTCAGGGCACAGGGAAGGCTGCACATGACCCAGGTCTAAGCTTAGTGACTACACACACATACATATACATATGTATATGTGAATATGTGCATATGTATGTATGTATATATGCATGTGTGTGTATGTACCCCCAAGACATAATTTTATAAAGTCTTATACAGTTAATATTCATTTAGATTTACCTACATAGTCACCTTTTCTATTATTCTTCATTCCCTTCCTCCATCTGGTTAATTTCACTTCTGCCTGGAGGACAATCTTTAGTATTTTTTTTGAAGTGGGTTGTCCTGGCAATGACTTTTCTTTTTTTGTTTGTCCAAAAAAGTCTGTATTTCACTTTCATATTTAAAAGATATTTTCCCTGTATATAGAGTTTTAGGCTAAAAGTTATTTTCTTTCTGTTCTTTGAAGATGCCATTCCATTTATTTCCTTCTACTTTGTTAATTTGGGGTATTTAAATGTTGGTTTTATTGTTTCAACTTTGAGAGCCCATAGACACTCAATATTAAGATGAGAAGCCAATTTTTAAAAATAGGCAAAAGATTTGAGCAGATCTATACCAAAGACAGAAAAGGTAACACAGCAGAGAATTTTATGAGAATTTCATAAAATTTGGTTAATATGCAGGCCTTTCAGTCAGATAGTCTGAGTCGAAATTCTGGTTCTCTGACCCTATACAAGCCACTCACGCTCTCTGTGTCTCAATATCTTCATCTGTGAAATACACACAATAATCGTAAACACCATTCTGAGGATTAAATATCTGATACATGTAAAGTGTTTAGAAGAGTTCTCGGCACATGGTAATACACGTGAGATAACTGTGCTAATAGTGTGGATCTCCACTCTGTTAATAGGAAATGCTAGTTAGTAG